TCAATAATTTCTAATAAACATTACAGAAATTTCAAAAGAGAAAAGAAGCAAGAACAATGAGAAATAGCATCACTACTTTCTCGCGTAATAAAAGAATAATTTTTTAGTTATTGTTACCGAGTCCCGAAGGTACCGAAGAACCGGGAATTAATAATTTCGAGTCCCACTTCTTTGATATCTCAAAAGAACCGGGAATTTCCGGTTCTGAACCCTAGTTAGCATATTATCAAGAAATTATGCTTTTTAACTAAGAATTAAAAAAATTTCCAGATATTTTTCAAACAAAAATATGCGCAGAAAAATCCTCATATTTCTGGGGCCAAAATATACTACCCATAAAATATTTGCATTTATTTAAGACTCACCCTGTATAGGGCGATTCACGGCTATGGTACGATATAGCGTTTCCGCAACCGGAGCTATTTTTCGGAACCGGTAATTTCGGTACTATGCCTCTAAGGAACCGGGATTTCGAGTTTTTCTCGGTACTTTCGGTACTAGCAAATTTTTGTCCAATGATGGTGCAGTTCGTTAAACTACAAGCAAGGGATGGTTGTCAAAAGAAAAATCGATAAAAAATTGAGGTTTAAATGAAAATAATATCAAATTATTAAGGAGTAATCAGTCATGAGAAAATTAACCTGAACACAAACATGATCACAAATGACTCTCAAAAAAAACTCAAAGTATAATTTTTTGAATTATTACTACAACCAATAACCAATAGCAGAACACAGTAAGGCACAGATTTTTAGTCCATCCGTCTCTGTGCTGGGACGCAACGCTCGAACCTCGCAGGTCGACGGACGGAACTCAACTGAAACGCTCTGCAATCTGCCGATATTCGACAGATTGTAAAAACTGACAGAAAATATATGGAAGAGTGCAACTACTCTTTTCCTTCTACTATGCTAGTAGTGTTACAAGACACAATAAAAAGAACGTCTCCTGATCCAACTGTCAACGACAAGAATCTCTAGATCGTCTCTATTCGATAAAGCCACTTTATAAACTTTCAATGGCCAATTAAAATTTTAAAAATATTGTTAGGGTATATCTATCACCGCAATCTTTCTTCCGACTACTAAGGTGGTGACATGTCTCTCCAATTGATCATGACGTAGGCATTTGCTCCGTGAAACGTTCGTGTGGGTGTAGCTTTAGATACCAATGCGAATTATCAATATAAAAGCTTGATTTATAGATGTTATGTGCATGTCATAATAATAATTAATAAACGCCTTTTAAGGTTTGTTATTAATTGTCTATAATCTTATTCTTTAAAATAGTTTGATGTATTTATAAGTATATATCCACAGAAGTGATATATAGCAGCTATAATTCTATTGTACTGTGTGACATAGAAATTGCAACACCCAGTGTATGCTTAGCTATATTTATAATGTTTTGGCAGTTGATTGCCTGAATGAACGGTAGTAAACGATAACATTTTTATTCCAGTCCGTTTACAAATAACCAGTTTTTTTAATTAAAAAAAACAGATTTTATTTGTCACCTTTCCTACGACATACGAATGTCAAAACCATACATAAATTAAACACAAGTTTAGATTGGAAAGTGTCCATAAGGACAATGTAAACACTATTTGGCGCTATTCTTGCAACGGTCGCGACCCAAAGCTTTTGAAAATTTCGGATCGGTTCGACTTTATCCGGAATTATGTCGCCAAATATTATTTATTCAAATTTATTATTATTTTCTTTTAATTTTATAAATAAAATACAGTGTGTTGCATACAAGAAATTTTATTTTATATAAGGACATGTATGCATTAGCGTAACTAGCAATTTATCCTGGGGTGGGCCTGGGGGAGGGCCTGGGTTTTTAATTAAAGGGGGGCCCAGGACTTTTGTTTGTTAAAAATGAAAAATAATTTTAAAAACACATTTTTTGAATAAAACGTTTACATGAATTTCTCTATCAATAAATTTCATAGACTTGGTTATCAAACCGTGTTTCAAACACATTTTTTGAACACCACAAAATAATATTAACTAAACAAAACTAGAAAACGTCATTTTTACTGCATCACAAGCAAATAAAATTAATACGTAGCCAAGAGTCATCATTCAAGATATCTCTGGGGGGTGTCCAGCAGTACCTGGGGGAGGGGTACCCCCGGGCACCCTGTAGTTACGCCAATGCATGTATGTGAAATACCTATGACACATTGGAAACCGACGTTATGCCAAGATCCACGATGGTTTTGACCAGGGGGGTGACAGTGAAATAGGAAATTTGGAAACAGTCATTAGTGTCATTCCTGTCATTCTCGTCACGACAAGTATGGCCGCCTAGGCAAGGACAGCATTGTTTTTGTCTAACTATTATCTAACTTCACAGTTTAGAATTGACAGATTTCAGTTTCAGAGACAACTTCAGATTTGTTCTAGAACAAATTCGAGAGTATTCGACGCCATTTTAATTCATTCCGTTTAGTTTCGTTTTGAAAGTTCAATTTAATATTTCGGCTGAAATTTATAAATATAAAGGTAATAAAGTATATAGAATATATATTACATGAAGAATTCTGGAGAAAATGACGTTTCTGCAGTAGTAGGTATGTCGGTAGTCCCATGTATATGAAAAATAAGTAGTAAATAAACACTGTTTTTACATTTTTTAGATGCAAGAAAATGGTGTTATAATCTCTTTGATCGGCGATTTTTTTGAAAATGGAAACAATTTACAGCAAGGTAAGATCATTTTTAACTATAGCTAACATTAGTTATCTCCAATATGTGCGATTTATTGTCAATAATGCAATAAATCGGACTGATAATCTGATTATGTTATCTGACTAAAAGTCTCTTTTTGCATCTTTTTGATTTATAAGCCAGGTTCTTTGGGAATAATGGACGCTTTTTTTAAACAGTATATTTATATTTTATACCTATTGATATTTTTACATTGTTAATTTTAGTATAAAAAATTGTTTTTCTGTTTTCAGGTTTTTGTATAAGGCTCCCGTTTTCATGTTCCTGTGACCGTTTTCTGTCCTTGAAGTTTGCGAATGCGTGTGTTTATTTACAAATTACTGTAAGTCATGCTTATACCTTAACTAATTTACGTTAAAAGTGCATATAATTAACTAATTGGTATTGAAACAATACAATCCTCTATATTTTTATATTTATTTAGTCACGTTGTTCCATATTTCAAATAAATATATGTGAATAAATTATTTTTTGGTTTTATTTATGAAAAGAAAAAATACAAAATACATTTGAACTGAAAGAGGGCCCGCCATTGAATAACCGGAAACGGAAATGAAAATTAAGCCATCATGTCAACCTGTCAATTGGAAAATTAGTTCTCCAGACGACAACGAAGGCTTTCGGTGGCGTATCGTGTTTCCACGATTTAACACAGAGTTGACACTTCTTTCTAGTTAATTATTTTATGGTTGTTCTTAGCAACCGCTATAGCAGCGCCAGTACGCGTGCAACGGTCACGATCCAAAACAATTATTATATATTTTGACGGGCTTTTTCCAATCTAAATATATTTTCTTTATCTATGAACAATTCCTGTCAATAAATTTGCAACAAAATATCATCTATTATTATTCATATATGAAATGAACAAAATTCTTACAGCTCTAGTGTATATTAATAAATAATATTTTCTTGCCTTTAGCTGTATATTTTTTCTAATTTCGAAAAATCGAAAGTAGAGAAAAAAATAAAAAGTAAAAAGAAAATTGTTTTGCTTGTCGTAAAGGGGGGAACAAAGCTCCACTCCCACAACCGGTTTCTGGGCCTACTCTTCATCAGGTGGGCTGTCCAGGGGCTGGTTCTCATCGATACGGCAAGCAAAACCTTTTCTATATCAACAGACGATGTCGTAAAGTGTCGGTGAGATATTAGTGCATCTCCCGTCAAAAGATGGTAAAAAACGTTTTTCGGTCCGCTCAAATACATATATATGAAATGAACAAAATTCTTACAGCTTTAGTTTATATTAACTGTGATATTAATAAATAATATTTTCTTGCCTTTAGCTTTGTATTTTTTCTAATTTCGAAAAATCGAAAGTAGAGAAAAAAAAATAAAAAGTAAAAAGAAAATTGTTTTGCTTGTCGTAAAGGGGGGAACCAGGCTCCACTCCCACAACCGGTTTCTAGGCATACCCTTCATCAGGTGGGCTGTCCAGGGGCTGGTTCTCACCGATACGGCAAGCAAAACCTTTTCTATATCAACAGACGATGTCGTAAAGTGTCGGTGAGATATTAGTGCATCTCCCGTCAAAAGATGCTAAAGAACGTTTTTCGGCCCGCTCAACAAAATACTTACAGCTTTAGTGTATAAATAAATAATATTTTCTTGAGCGGGCCGAAAAACGTTCTTTACCGGGTTACTACGTTCTTTACTATATCTTTTGACTATGCACTAATATCTCACCGACACTTTACGACATTGTCTGTTGATATAGAAAAGGTTTTGCTTACCGTATCGGTGAGAACCAGCCCCTGGACAGCCCACCTGATGAAGGGTAGGCCCAGAAACCGGTTGTGGGAGTGGAGCTTGGTTCCTCCCTTTACGACAAGCAAAGGCAAGAAAATATTATTTATTATTATTCATATTGATACCAAGTACATCCCAAAATATTAATATAATGTAAATATTTGCAATTAAGGGATGTGGTATTTTCTTTGTCACAGAGTATATATTTTTTTAGATTTCTATTATATTCTGGTTTACAAATTTGATGTAGTGTGCATTCTCATATGGGACACCGTGTATACAGGGTGTAAAAAAATAGTATACAAAACTTTGGGTGTTGATTGTACACAGATAAAAATAAAACAAAGAGTTCCTATAAACATATTATACCCTAAGATGCTTCCGCTGTGTATTCCTTTTTATCAGCATTATGCACATTTGCATGATATTTAATAATGATAAATTGACATCTTTTTATTATTCATATTTGAAAAACTCTCTTCTTAAAATTGTTAAAAACTCACATAAACTTACATAGAAATATAGCGGTATTTCCACTCTATCCTTGTACTGACAGGTAGCGCCGTCGTGTCTACAACACCCTGTATCCTCTGCGCACCTGTAAAGTACCGTGCAGTGAGGAGTGTAGGTAACTGCCGGGTTAGGATACTCCTGTTGTACTGGAATGACTTTCGGGATAGGATTCCTGCAGGATCCCGTGTTCTTGACTCGAATGTAATGTTCTACAGCTGCTCGCGCTCGGCTTTCTGAAAATAAATGATTGATATGAAAATTAAAAAATAGATATTTAAGTAATATACGTTAAGTAATATATCGTTCTAAAACGGTAATTTAGAGGTGATACAATCTATGACTAACAACTCTATGTTTTGCGCTAAGATCAGTTTCTAAGGAACTTAACTTATCAACCTCTAGAATAGTCTATTATGCCCTTTTTGAGTCGCATCTTCGTTATGCCCTTCCATTTTGGGGTACTTGCTGTGCGACAAAATTTGATCGTATTTTCAAACTTCAAAAGAGAGCAGAAGTTCGATATTGACGGGACTGAACCGTAAAACTCACTGCTAGAATTTCTTTAAAAATTGCATAATACTGATTCTTCCTTCCTTATTCATTTTTGAATCCATTTGCTTAATCCGCAAACACATATCTGCTATTCCCGAAAGGCCATCTCACAACTATCCACTTAGGAATGCGGAGCACGATCTTTATCTGCCAACCCCGAGTTCAGAACTAATTAAAGGCTACAATTTACTGTACAATGCCAAAAAAATGTACAATCATCTGCCTTTGAATATCAAGTCACTTTCATTCTTTCCCGCATTTTGCAAAGCTCTGAAATCACACTTACTGGAGAGAGCCCTATATGCGGTAAACGACTTTTTTGTTGATGCTTAATCATGAACAATTTTGAATTTTAAAATTTTGATCATCTCACACACTGGTTAAAGGTTTAGTATTGAAATGTCCATATATGTGTTTTATTTGTAATTTTAATGACATAATTTTTTTTTGAATTGATTTGTATTGTATGATATTTTTTATTATTTGTATATTTTTTTGTGCTTTTCTTTTTTATGTAAATGCTTTGTCGATGAAACTATTTTGGTTTTTTGTACAATAAAGCGTTGTTTATTTATTTATTTATTAACTCCCTAGGATTCTCCAGAGATCTCCAACTAGGTAATGAATAAGCTATGTCTGAAGTACACCCCCTCTAGGCATTGTTCTGTTACATAATATATATATTGTCACGACCGTTACAAGAAAAATCATATTTTTTGACCTGATTTTCAGTTGATTGTTGTTAAATAATGTAGCAGACATAAAGTCGTATATGATTAGAATACAATACGAATGAAATTAAGAAGAAAATATGAGGAAATGAATATAATGGCAACGGAGACCCTCAGTTAATCATTGGGCGTACGTACGGTTGTCAATCAATGCGAGAAATTTTTGAAAAAAAGGTCAAATATAGGTCACAAAATAAGAACAGTAAAACTTTAATAATCCGGATAATCCTCCGAGTCCGGGTGCTCTATTAATTCTGATACTGCTATTATTCGGGCATTTTAGGACATTTGTCTATGAAATCCGGGCACAACAAATATCAGAATTTTCCAGTCTGGACAAGCAGAAATATAAACATTTTGTTTGTGAACTGAATACTTATACAGGGTGTTTCAAAAAAATGTGCCATCTGTCGGGATTCCTCACGTAAAAATAAGAATTATTTTTCATATTAACATAGGTCCGATTTTGCTTTGTTTCGTAGCTACAGGGTGTTACAGTCTTAATAATCTTTCGGTTTATTATAATTTCCTTCAAGTGCTTTTAGTAATTCGAATGAAATTTTGAGGGCAAAAGTTACTATAAGTGCTACATATGTTAATGCTAAAAATAGAGAAATTCATCAGGGACGTGCATATGGGTTATCACTGGAATATTTTTCAAAAAAAAACATGTGCACCACTAACTTTTTTTCTTTTCATATCAAAATAATTGTATAGTCCGTTTAAAGCCAATTAATTAAATGTTATCTCTTGATATTTTGTCGGCTTCGGCTTCCTTGATGAAATAAACGCAATTTTATTAATCACAATTAATAAAATAAAAATAAAAATAAAATGAATAAATTATATACCTTATATAATTATATATTTATGTCATATACTAACATACCAAATCTCGTTTTTTTATCTGAAAAAATAAAAAAGTTATAGGGGGTGAGCCACTTTTGAGACGCACCCGGTATATTTCCTAATTTATGCCAATATTATTATACTTTTTTGTTTGGTTTGGTTCATTTTTTTATTATTACTATTAGCAGACAAGGATATCGCTATTAATTATTATTACTATTAGTCCAGCCTACCTGTAACTCTAAAACTCTGCATTTCTATACCCAAGTTTATAGGATTTTTTTTTATATTTTTTGATGAGGAATCAATGAGCACCTACGTTAAACTTTCGCAATTTAATAATATTAAAATTTATTAAAGGTTTAAAATTGCGTTTATCTCATCAACAAGGGCCGAAATTGACAAAATATCAAGAGACAACTTTTAATCGGCATTAAACTGCTTACACTATTTCGCTAACAAAAGAAAAAAAGTCAGTGGCGTTCCTACATGCTTTTTTAGAAAAATATTCCAGTAATAACCCAAACGCACGTCCCTGGTGAATCTGTCGACACTTTTTTACCTTTTTAAAATGACACATGCGACATAACTGCGACATATTTTAATATGTCGCAGTTATAGTGAGTTTTACCCTCAAAATTTCATTCGAAACGCTTAAAGAACTTGAAAAAAAATTGTATTAAATCAAAAAAATATTATGATTTTAAACCAAATCAAACCAAACCAGACCTAACCTAACCTATGTTGATATGGAAAATAAATCTTATTTTTACGTGAGGAATCTCCCCACCAGAAATGGCACATGTTTTTTGAGACACCCTGTATATTTGTGAATTAGATTCTCGAGCATCTTAAACGTAATGGCGTCAATCTAACGAGCACATAAAATAAGGTCTTTTATATCAAAATAATTTCAAGGCGTAGGCTTTGGGCCTAGGTAAGAATATTACTATCGATGACGTGCTGTTTTCCAAGCAAACAAATAGTTAGATTTATTTGTATAGTTTTATTTTTATAATAATTTTTATAATATACATTTTCTAAATAACTTTTTATTTTTATTTTTTAGATTGATTGCTCTTTCAGTGTCTTCTTACTTCTCTTCTTATTCCCATATTTTTAATGGAACACCCAGTATATTATTCCGATATTCAACGAGAAATTCATATCTCTTCAAAATACTATTAAGGTTGGAGTTTTTATGTTAATATTGCTGTGTATTTCTTTATGTTTAGTTTAGCATCAACAGATCTTTTTTATTTGATAAAATCTATATAATAATAATTAATTTTAATCACACTAAGCTTCAAAATTATCTCTGACAACGCTATTTAAGCCAAGAACTTACATATGTACCTACGTATCCTGCGGTTTGAAAACGAGACGTAATTACATTCCGATAAAATTACTTGTCTCAAAATCGAAGAGCACCGTCTGTGGGGTCTTGCTTGTCCGAGAGAGCCGTTGCGTTGTCGCTCTAGAGCTGGATCTGAACTGTATATCCCCAGGTGCAAAGCAATTATCCGATGCTCGCGAGATAATAGAGTTAATGAGGTGAGGTAATACCGGAACGGTTGTTGTTTAATCAATTTCAGTGAATTTAAATACCTAATAAGATACAGAATGTATTTTAAATAAGGGATGAAAGTATACAGGGTTATACTACAAATTCGAGGTACGAACATTGGTATCTCGGAAACCGTAATAGATACGAAGATAGTTAAATTAGGACAAAATTGCTCCTTGGGATGTTCACCGAGATTCCATCAAATTTTTTTTAAAAATTTCAAGGATTGCTGAGTTTTTTTGAGAAAACGGATTTTTCTGGAAATCAATTTTATTTTTTCCTGCCGTTACTTTTTAGAAAATCAAAAAACTAATTGCACATTCTCTTAGCCACTTTATTAGGGCTATCTGATAGTATTTTTAGATTTTCAAATTAGCTGATAATTTGTGAGGTACAGAGCCCAACTTAATTTTTTTAAATACGGATCTGCATTTTTTATTTCAGATTTTAAAAGAACTCGGTCTCCTGAGTACAATGATATGCCAAACTTAAAACTTTTTTTCTGTTTTGGATACCTTAACAGTAACAAAACTATTTAATTATTATTTAAAATAATTTCAAGCCTTTAAATTATTTAATCTGATTATATTCATCGTAACAATATTGATCAGCGCTAGTTAATATTGAATAAGGAAAATCGAGCCAATTGAAAGATTCAAATAAATAATATCCAGGTCAGCAATTTAAAGATATTATTTTTTATATATTTTTTTTAAAGATAAACTTTTTTTATTGTGAATTTGAAATCTCAGTGTACCATCGAATAATATGCATAATGGTGCGTTTAGACTTGAGCACGCACGAGCTGAGCGTGCGCGCACGGCATTCGTTCGCGCTCTCGGCTCCGTTCAAATTAAAAACTTATTTTTCGATGAATGAAGTGATCCATTTGTGCGCGCACAGCAGAGTTGTGTTGGCGAAAAAAATGGACGACCAAGAAATAGTCGCGGCTGCAGTCAATGTTATGCACAGCTTAATTATTAAAAAGGAGAAAAATCGAAAACATCGTCGCTGGTGGCAAACCCAAATTTTTAGAAATCGATATAATTTACTGCAACAACTTCGTGTCTGAGGAGGGCTATGATCAGTTCAAAAACTTTACAAGAATGACCAGACCCGACTTTGAATATTTACAAAGTTTAATAACACCGAAAATTACGAACAAAAGATACAAATTTTAGAATAGCAATTTTATTAATATCGACATATTCAATATTAATTTTATTTACAAGATCTTGCTATGAGTTTTTTTATTATTTAATAATACAAAGAATGTTTAACATCCCATAATATAGGCAACTTTTCATATTCTTCAATTAATAATAACGAAGATTCATTGATCCACTCCATAATTTTAATAAAGAAAACGAAAAAAAATCACACACGCACGCACGAACGCAGACAAAACAAATTGCCGGTGCAAACTGAGTGTTCGCGCACACATAAAATCCCCTTGAGCACGGACCAAAAACCGACACCAGACGGCTCACGTTCGCGGCTGCTCGCGCACAGACGATTCGGAGTGAGCGTGCGCGCACAGCCGTTTACACTTGAGCATTCGCGGAGGATCAGTGCGTGCGTCCTCAAGTCTAAACGCACCATAATATTAATCGTAGTTATTATAAATAAATCAACTTCTACACACTAATTTCTAATGTTTTAAGTTTTAATCATATAATGTTTTATTTTAACAGTAGCTATAAATTTTGTACTAAATTATTAACAACTGTCGACACCTTAGTTGACGTGTCAACAATTAAATTGTCGACGTGACATTCTCGACATCGCGTCGACGTCGTCCAACTCTGATGATGTTCAGTCTTAAATTTTATTTTAGATTTTATATGGTAATAATAAATATTAAGTCTAATAATACCAAGTGATAAATGGAAGCGAATCTTACCTTCACTATTTTTTCTGATATTCAGTTGACGGTTCCTCGCCTCCGTCACACCTTGTCTTGTACCAAACTGATCCCATTTGTATTCAGACATGCTGGAGTATTGTTTTGCCACTGTAAAAATAAAATATCTTGAATATAGCAAAATCCCATTTTTAGATACAAGCAACGACAATTTCTAAATACAGTTCAACCTCTTTAATCGAAACACACGGTAATCGGAACGTCCAATAACACCCTAATTGCGATATTATAGTCGGAATGTTACCTCCATAACCTCCTCACCTAACTTCCACAAGTAGCACACAAGCTACCACCTTCTCCAGCAAGGGTCTGGAGCCTACCTCTAGACCCAATAAGTGACACAAGCTGCCGTTTCGTCTACCCGGCCTGCGTCAACCAGGCGGGCTAGACGATCCTCTGAGAGTAGGTCTTAGGGGAGCAGAAGCATGGAGATACCTCCGACTGCTCCACGAAGGACTTGCTCCAGAGGAAGCAAAAGCGAAAACACTCCTCCGAAGAGAGAGTAAAGAAACCAAGAAACAACCTGACTCATCTCCATCAAAGAGCAAGAGAGGGAGCGAGAACCTCTCACCTCTTCTTTGACAGGGAGAGAAAAAACCCAGGATGGAAAGCCGTCCAATACCCGGAGGCAAGCAGGGACGTATCACCAGCTTTGCCGCTTTTGCTGGACAAGTGAAAATGGCGGCGCTGTCAAAGGATTTCCCAGAGGTTGCTCTGACCACCGACCAGCAAACGTCTCTAGAAGAGGCTATACTGGACGAAGTAGTGGCGACCGGATCGCAACACAACGGTCTACAAAATGTGGGTCAGCTGCGTTTTGCGGGGATACACTTTCGGGTGGGCATGATCCTCATAGATTGTGTATCTCAAGAATCGACGAATTGGTTGGTGGAAATCGCTCCTAAGCTTAAAAATTGGCAGGGGCCTGAACTGGTTGCAATGAAGGGAGAAAACATCCCTAAAGGGGTGGCCATCACGGTCTTTCTGCCGAGGAGCAAGGGGAAAGACACCACCTACCTGCTGAGCCTTATCCAGGGTCAGAACTTCAATGTAAGGACATCGAGTTGGCGAATCATCAACTCGAGGGAGGAGAGTCATGGTCAGGTCCTCACAATAGGAATAGACCTTAAATCCAAGGAGGTAATAGAGAAAGAAGGACATATCCTCTATTATAGATACGGGACAACACCGGTACCAGGTCTAAGAAGAGACCAAGTTAAAGAGGTGGAGAAAATGGAGACAGATCCTCCAGCCTCCACCTCACGGGTTCCTCAGCCGGAGGCAAGCTACTCGACTGTGACGAGCGGCACGGAGGGCCAAACTCCAACCATGAAAGGGTGTGTACCCTCGGAGGAAGAACTGTTGTCAGAGGAGGATGAGATATACCCTGTCCCCTCTACAACAGAGGTATGATAGGTTATAGACTGTGTGATGACTCAAGGAAGGGGGGTAAAATAGATCTTTAAGATCGCAGTGATTAACCTCCCCCCTCTTACTCATTCTACATTCTACCTCCATAATCGGAACTTTCTTCTAAAGACTTGACAATTACGTAGCACAGTGTCTCCTGGCTATGTTTTTCCCATTCCTCTCTCTATGAGTAACACGTTTAAACCTGAATATATTTAAAGCTAAAAGCAACTTGAAGAGCTTCATAGGAAGCTGCAAGTTCGTCAACAAAATATCAGTCCAAAACTAATGTGTGATAGATGGTTATGGTAATGTGCATTCTTTCTCTCAAAAAGGTAGATGTTTATCGTCAAAACAATTTGACGTTATTTTTTTAATGTTTACTTATGTAACAAATAACTATCATAAGATTTTTTTTCGCAATATAGTACAATATGCATAGTGTATGTATTGGCTAATCAGAATAGGTCGTACCGATTAAAGAGGTCGCACTCTGTTGAGATAATATATTCTTAATTGAGATAATAACGGGTTTTGAGTACCTGGAATGGTTCTTTCCGTTGGTTCCTCAGCCTGGAAATCATCATCGTCGTCGTCGTCTTCGTTTGAAGTGTCGAAAAAGTCCTCTTCATAATTGGAGTCGTCGTCTTCCTGAAACAAGGGGATTTATAAGAAAATGTAACAAAAGATACTTCTGGCAAGAAGATAAGCACTCCTTATTGGACCATTTGATTACTTTAAACAAAACCTTAGAACCTATTGATTTCACACGTCAAAAATGTATTTTTTAAGAGTTTTGGTATAGCATCCAAATCCCTAAGTATTTTGAATAAGAGCTTCTTTAGGGTTCACCTAACATTCCTGTTGAATATCTGAGGCATTCGAATCAGTTTTTTTCTTTTCTCATTTTCTACCACTTCGTAGGGTTAATCCTTACTATGCAAACACTATTAATATCTGACACGCCCAAGTATTTCATTTTTACTGCTTTTTTACATTTTTGAAAACCCTATACACCAGTAAAAGAGCATAATAAATCATATAATCTCTATTTCTTTTTACCATCTAATTTTCACTAGAAGAGTATATTCCCATTTAGCATTTTGGGTTCTATTAAAAGTGACTAACTATCCAAATTTAGAGCTCCCAGTTGTTCCTTAGAGGTCAAACGTCACTGACGCCTATTTAAATTGGAATGTTTAATTCCCGAACTCGGGCAGTGTGTCCCAATTAATAACATTCAGAAAAAAATGTGTTTCAATAGCCGAATATACAGCTGTTTTAGTGGCCGTAATACCGAGGACCACCCAAAGAGTGTATAATAAGATTTGGCTAATAAATCCTTTTATAAGATCATAATTTAAGCCATAATTCTTGTTGGATTGAAGAAAGCGTGAATACGAGTATTATTCTATGCAACAATCCTGCTTAGTAGGGATTATTTTATGGTGTTACTTTAGTAAAGTAATAAGGGCTCAATGGAGCGATTCCGTAATATTTTGTTACACCGCTGTAAACTTACAGTGGTGTAACGTTACATAGGGTGTAAGACCGGGTTTATAAATTTTTTAATGGTACGATTTTGTATCTTCATTTACGCGCTATAAGCGATGTATCGATATAACCTTGACGCGATGTAGAAAATGTGGCTAAATAGCAGTTCTGTAACTTACATTACGCTGTAGGAGTGCTTACATTCGCTGTAACTATACATCCTAGAGAATGCAGATGTAAATCCAATGTAAATCCTTACATTTGAGGTTAATCAATGTCAGAGACATATCAATATTTTAATTGTTGCGGTATAAACATAAGGATGTAACTATGGCGTACAGCGCATCCGTACAGCGTTACCATATTATCATAAAACTGTAAAACCCGGTCTTACATACTATGTAACCTTACACCACTGTAAATTTACAGCGGTGTAACAAAATATTAATATAGGATTGTTTAAAACACAAAATACTCCTATTACATAATGCGATGAGCTTAAGTGTGATTCTCCAATCGCAATTAAAACTGCGATTGCGAATTTAAATCGCTGTGACTGAAACCTGCGAGTAATTATATCAAAAATTCTAATTTTCCAAAATTTTGTATTTAAAGGCCCTATTTTCTTGGACTAATTACAATACTCCTTGTTCTTATTGGATAACAAAAATCCTTAATAAAGTTTACTCCAGCCTAAATAACCATCATTCTACAGCAACAATTTTCTGTGATTTTTCTAAGGCGTTCGACTGTGTAAATCATAAGATCCTAATTAATAAACTGCAGCACTATGGGTTCAAAGGAACATCTCTCGAATGGTTTAAGTCATATCTGAGCAACAGAAGTCAACTTGTGAGAGTGGATACCACGTTATCTTCTAGCAAGCCAATAGAATGTGGAGTACCTCAAGGCTCAGTTAGGCATTGCTAACATAAACATTAGTGGTAAAATATCTCTTTTTGCGGACGACACTAGCTTCACTTGGAGCAACAAGGACATCACGGCACTTCATAGGATTACATCAAATGACTTAATCATCATTAAATCTTGGTGCGATTCGAACCTCCTGAGTCTCAACATTTCTAAAACTAAAGCTTTGTCGTATAAAAACTCGCTGCAGCCTTTTGTACTTAACAACATCACCATTGACGTCGTAAAATCTGTAAAATTCTTAGGGCTTAGACAATTCTTTAAAATTGGACATGCATATCGACGCTTTGTCGAAAAAATTAAGCTCTGTTTTGCATTAAGATCTGTTTCTAAGGAGCTAAACTTAAAAAAGGTAGAAAAAAGACTCGGCTTTGAGAAAAATGGATGCCTTTTTTAAATTTCTAAGGAGCTAAACTTGCCAGTGGCTGTAAAAATACACAAAATTCTATATGATTTATCCGATCCAAGTTATAAAAATAGTAGAATTAAAAATAAAAAGATTGAGACAAAATTGGAGTTGCAATTGGATTGGATAGTACATAATAATTAATAATAGTAGTTGTATGTATGTATACATTTATATTGTTTAAGTTTAAATATTGTAGGTAAATATTTAAGAATGTTTTTTTTTCGGGATACCTACATAATTTACATTTTTAATTTGTACCTATGTATACCTACAGGATAGCTCACTACATATAGGTATGGCGGTGAATGTGAACGCGTTGGTGTGTGCTAGAATGATCGCTCATGTTATCGCTGCCCTGATCGTGATCGTGATCGCGGCCGTGATCGCACCAGTGTGCGTGTAGCTTAAGACTGACAATGTAATTTGTATACTTGTGTTGTATTCTCTTTTGTTTGTTTACTTTACTTTTGTCTACAAATTGTAAAATTTTTTGACATAAAGGCATTTATTTATTTATGGCAGTAAAATCGCTACTCGCAACTATTGTAATATTGGTTGCCTAAATTAAAACTCGCAAATAGAAAAAATCGCAGTCGCAGTTTTCTATGAGAGCCAGTCGCGCGTTGCACGTTGCGATTGCCATTTTAAAATCTCTGCGATTGAATCGCAGTTTGCGATTTGTTGCTCATCTCTAGTACATTCTTCATATACAACACAGTATTTGAATTTATTAAATAACATTCTAACGCCTTAATTATAAAATTTTCTACAACCCATTGACTCGTGTTATATCGATTTCACACCGTCGCACTTCATATTTTGTTCCAGTAAAGCGATAACCGTTAGAAAATAAATCGGACGTAATGTAAAACACCGACGCGAGTACTGGCAATAATCTAAGGCAATAATAGCCTTAAGAAAGTGTTGGAACGCTTTACGCATCTGCTACGGGCTCAATTAGGCTACGTTATAAATAGCGAAAGATAGAGTTACGAGAATAATACACCTTTCTTATCTGAAGCGATTTTCAAGAGGAGGAAACATAAAACATTCGATTTCCGAAGTTAAGTTTAGTAGTTATTGGTCTATAACTCTATTTAACGTTATGTTAACGTACGATACTTATTGCGTGTGTTAATAATGCTTTATGCTTTCTAGCTGTCAACTCTTTTTTTATTCGTTTTCTGATACCTACTCTCTGTGTTCTCTATTTTATGAATGTATCCGTACCAGATCATTCCTCTTTATAGTTTTGATAAAAACTTTTATAACAACTACTTAAACACTCTGCTAAACAGCCTCTACACTATCCTCAAAATGTTTAACGAAATATTTCTGGAAATTTGATTCAGATTTTCCCAATCAGCATGATATATTGATGTTGTTGCCAGTATTACTCTTCAAACAATACTACTGTTATACAGAATATTAATATTTCAAAACGCGTTTATTATATGTGTAGTAGATATTTAGGTTACGAACAAAACTTTTCACTTAAACTGCAGAAATTGAATTACAATATTTTTATGATTTAATTTTATTATAATGAATTAGTATATAAAATTGTATATGATATGTTTGTTTACAGCCTTAATTGATTAATATAAGAGTAATATTGCTTGATGAGTAATACTGGTAACATTATCAATATATCCCCTTAAGAAAATTATTATTTGACCCGATGTCAACAAAAGTATGGTCCACGGACATTGTTTAAAAGCAATGTTCTTTTATTGTTCATAAGAGAAATTTTTAAACGATGCTTTTACAGGGATTTAGACAATTAAAACTAGAAAAGCAAAACCAAAAATTAGTAAACTAAACTTTGCTACAGACTACAGTTTAAATGTTACTTTACCTTTACCATAACCAGAAATAATAAATAATTAGAAGATTTTTTAAATAATTCTGTGTATATTTTGTTCAAGAGGCGCAATACCGTAGATTATAAGCCGATAAATAACAGACCGCTAGTTAGTCACTGTTTTATTTATTTTAGTATAAAGTAATTAATAATATTAGACAATGATTAAAACTAAATATTCTCGGGTTACCTTCGAGGATTAGCCAATTTAATTTACCATATTGCCAAGACTTTTTTACAAAATTAAAAATATTAACTCTTCCTTCCTTATTTATATTTGAATCCGTTATGAACGCGGAGCAAGATCTTTATCCACCTACCCCACGCTCAGAGTTAGTTAAAAGTTCAATATTATCTACCGTTATTAAAACAAATTATCTATCTATTTGCTCCAATATATTTTGATGCATAAATTTGTCTCAGAATATATTAGTGTTGTCTCACGATGTGAATGGTTAGTACGAGTGGCGAGAATCACCGCGAAGTGAACTGCTCTACTATGTTTTACCCCTACGATCATTTGCATGAAAATCTGGGTAATTTCCTAGATATTCTCTTACCTTATGTTGTGTAACAAGTAAGATACTGAGCTCCATTGAAGCTTCGTTCAAAAAACGATCGAAACTGGTGCTCTGACTGTTAGCATGTGTACGTGAATAAGAATAAGTGCAGTAAGTGACACGCATACTCAAAACCAAAAGAATATGTGGTTAAAAGTAAGTAACTTTAGAGTAAGAAAATTATTATATTTCTCTCACAATGAGAGGTGTCCATGTCTTCAGATGTGAACAATCTACCCGTACACTGTCTGGGCCTGGATTAAGAAAAGCCTCTTACAGTGTCTGTGGCTAGAAAAGAAAAGGTATATCAGGAATTATTTAATTAAATAAAAAAATTATAAAAGCAGGAGTGGATTAGTCACCCAAACGCACGGTTAGGCATACTTCAGCATTC